AGAAAGTTAGAACCATTCAAAATTCACAATGAAATAAATTCAACAATTTATTTTCTTAATAAAGTTATAATCGTTCTAGATTCTCGAGGAAAGAAATTCAATGATTTATTTTCCTTACAAATTTAGAATCTTTTAAGATTTTCAAAAAAAATAAATTCAATAATTTATTTCCCTTACAAAGTTAGAATATACACAAGATTCTAAAGATGAAATATATCCAATGATTTATTTCCCCTATTTTTAAGGTTGTATCATCTGTTAAATGATGAGATTAATAGCACTAAAACCCAAAACATATATATCACGACAACTTGATTATGTTTAACAAACGAAAATCAAAAGGAATTAATCCTTTAAGTTTAGCAACCCAATAATCAAAAGGATTTAATTATTTGATTTTAATTTCGACAACACAATAATCAAAAGGAATCAATCATTTGATTTTACTTTTGATAGCCCAATAATCAAAAGCATTGGATTAAACTCCGAATATGTTTGTATCTATAAAATTTCTCAAAAGAAATTATTAGTACACTAATAAAATTCATAGTGTTTCCAAAACACAATCAATAATTATAAATATCAAAGATATTTTTTTCATGACATATTTAATATTTCATATTAAAAGACCAAAAGTTATATGGTAATAATATCATAACAATATGATCATGAATAATATCATGATTAATGCTTACATGCACTTTTATGGGTTAAATCTTACCATAATGATATTCCCTAATAATACCATAATATAGTTAGAATCACATTGATTCTTTAATTGCAAAAAAAGGCAAATTACCATGTGCTAGTCACCATAAGCTAATTACTATGTATTTGTGTATATTCACAAGTTGGTTTCTACGTGAGCTTGCAAAACAATTTGCAAAAAGCTCACGTACCATTGCATAGATCCAAATCAATATCGCTTATTTTAATTTTATTATCGAATAGAATCAACATTTCAAAATTAGTAACCAACGTTACTTTAACAACAATTTATATTAAATAGATTTGTGCACTTTAAAATTTACAAACCCGTAAAAAGAACATGATAAATCTTGAAAACGAACTTGTTTGCTTTTCACAATTTTCCAAGATTTTTGAAACGTGTTGGATTTTCAGAAAGGTAAAAGATAGAATCTATCTTATTATTTTAGAAGAATAACAATCCAAGATGATAAAATAAAAAGAAAATCTTATTTAAATAATTGATTCACACGGCAAATAACATTTAATTCCACGACATGATCTCGTTGTAAAGTTCATATACACGAATTAAGAATAAAACAAAAAAATGATCAATAACATGAAAAAAAAATATGCTATTAAATAATCGAAAGGAGTGTAAAATAGATACACGTTTGGAATCGCAACAACAGAATGGAAACGAGTTGAGGTCTGCAGTTATGCAGTTTCCTTAAGACAAATTTTTGGCCACTCCGATGGTACTTGAGATCATTGGTCATCTGTCTCCCAGGATACAAAAATTAGATGATCAGCTACAACTGCACTGCTACAAAGTTCACAAACTATTCCTTGCCTTCATCTATCACCAAAAAACTAGAGAAGAAAAAAAAAACTTTTTGAATTCTTTTTGAGTTGTTTTGAATGATTTTTAACCTAATAGGTTTACATGATATTTATAGGGATTTCACATTGTAAACAACTGCAAGTTTTTTACCTAATGAAACATTTATGAGAATCAAGCAATCAAGCAATTTCCAAAATTATTGTTTTGATTAAAGGAACCTTTTAATATTTATCCTTTTAGTTCCGAAACGAATTTTGCAAAGATATACTTTATTTGAGGAAAAAAATATTTCAACTTTGGGTTAAAATATCTACAAACGTACAAAGAGCCATCCCCAATTCGAACATTCACGTTACTCATATTGTGCACGTCTGCACTTTTATGAAACAACAATTGGCTTCACATTTTCTTTAACAACGTTTGGATCAATTTCTCATTAAAAGCTCCAAAATTATCGAATTTTTCCAACAATATTTAATGTAATTTTATTGATGATACCAATTACAAAAGTATTTAAACAAACTCCCAAAAGAAAATACTTATGAATATTTAAAGATAAATGAATAAAAGTTTTACAAAATTTAAACCCATAAAGGAAATGATTTTGATGAGTTGAGAAGATCTATGATAAGCATCATCTTCTTCTCTCTTTCGGTGCAAGAAATTATTATACAAGATATGAAGATTACATATTGTCTCGTAAACTTAAACCTTTTCTTCAACATTTCACAAGTACAAACTTGTAATTTAGCTATGCTTTATAACTTTTATATATATTTACACACATAATTATTAATTTAATTTATTCATTATTTAATAGTGTATTTATCAGTCGTACATTTATTATTGGTGAACATCAATTTACATGGAGAGAATTTGAAAAATCCAAATTTATGATAAATTAGGATGAATTAATAAAAAGAAATAAGATCGACAAACAAATTTTTTTTCGAGATGTTTCACTTAATTAATCTCATTCATTGGTTAATTGAAAAATATATTGACTGGCGATTGGATGTTTTATCAAATATTTGTTCATATGGAACCAACCCAATGTGCCCAAGAAAATACTAACCAGGAAATTGTAAGGTTTTGTTCAAATGTCTATCATCATTCGAACGATTCATTATAAAGAGGTCATAAGATATTTTTTAGATATTATATTTTATATATATATATAATATTATTCTTTGTTACTTAATTCTAATTAAATAATTTATTTCATACGATCTTAATAGAATTGATATTAAGAGGAAGTTTACTGTTGTTTTTTCAAATTTGTATATGAGAATATTTGAAGCTCTTTTAGCATATATTATTTAGGTGGTAGAACTAACCATATACAAATCCAAATGCACTAACAACTTAAGACAACTAAAGCTTAATCGAAAAACTTAAGGGAAATAACTTTTATTAATAGAACACAATTATAATATTATACCCTTAGCTCTCTTTCTCTAAACTCACACTTGTGGCACTCATTTCCCTCTTTTATAGCTCTTAATTCAATGGTAAAACTCATCATTATTATTATATTATTACTCATATTAATTATTTAACATTATAAATATCTAGATTCTTTTAATAAATAATTTTAGATATAATATTAAATATTATAAATATCTAAATTATTTTATGGATATTTCTAGATATCTACTTTTTCTATATTAATTTAGAATATTCCTAAGATATATCTTCTAAATAATAATTATATTTTTATCTAGAAGTTACATCGAATCTTTACACTATATCTCATGTTTAGTGTCATGATTTCTATATTTTTGCTTCCACATAGATAAAGAAGCACCAAGGTTAACTGAGATTGGTTTCAAATTCTTGGTGTGCATCATTTAACTCGTGTCCATTTTGGTTGCTTGTCACCTAAAATTAATTTTCATGTGTGAAATTTACAGCTGATGGATACAAATGTGCAACTTTGGTACGTTGTCAGAGAATTTATCACCAATTCAGAGGTAAACTTCACGAGATATTTTTGGTGTTTTGCTTTATATATCTATTTGTTACATATTGTGTGTGTTGTGAAGTTTTGAGCTCTGGAAGGCGAGATATTGATCAGTTTAATGAAGGACAAATAAAAGGTAATTCTTGATTTTATCTCTTCACACTAATTGGAGGTCATTGATACAACTCTGGGTTAAGTACAAGGTAGTAATATGTTCAAAGATAACTCTCAATCATTTAACATTAAGCGCTCACACCTCTAACATTCCTGGGCTTGAACTTGAAACCTTAAGGAATAACAACAATTCATTTACCACAAAGGACCAAACAGACTTAATTGTTGTTTTGCTAGAACTTCGTTTTCATACCACTGGTGAGGTATGCCATATTCATTTTTAACTTTCCCCTTGATCCATGATTTTTTCATGGAAAAATTTTGTTGGAAGAAGTTTACGCTTGCCATTTGTTGAATCCATTTTGTCTTGGCAAGAATATAAGTTAATCTTCATTTTGTTTTTGGTTTAAACCTTTTGTTGTCATTTGTTATTTCACTAGAAGATTACTCCCTTTTGGTGTGCTTTCTTTTCTTGAGGTTCTTTAAAGCTAATTTCCTTGACATTTTATACATGTAAACAATGTGGCTATTTCTGCAGTATTTAATGTATAGCTTGTTAATAGTTCTCTTTCTGACTCTCTCTCTCTGTCTCAATCCACTTTCATGGGCTTGTTTCTAAGGTTCAAAGATTTATAACTGCTATATATAATATTTGAATTCTTCCCTAAAACAATAATGTGCTCCCCCATTTATAAAGTATCAACTTACAAAGTTCATAGTTGTTGCAATAACAAAAAAAACCTGTACAATGCTTAATAAATCTTGTTGCTGCCCAGGATCGAACTGGGGACCTTTAGTGTGTAAGACTAACGTGATAACCACTACACCACAGCAACAAGCCTTGAGAATGATTTATACAAAACATAGATTACCTAATTAAAACAAAACAGAGACCGTTATTATTTGACAGAGTAAAAATATAAAAGCCAAGCAACAAGAAAACAAACAGATAGCTTCCGAGAAATTTCCCTCTGTCTCTCAATAATTCCATCACAACTGTTGTTTGGATGAGATTGTCCATTCATTTTCCCCCTTGCTTCATTTGGAAAGCTAAAATCTAGAAAACCCCACCCATTTGGATCTCATGATACTTACAAGTGTAGCTTTTGGACATATATATTGTTGAAGCACAATGAGAGATAATTGTGAAAAGGAAGTTGGACAGATTCAAAATGGCGGTGGACTATTCGGTCGGTAACGATTTACCTCTTCTGATTTGAGTAGAGAATTGTTAGTCATGGTGACTTGAAATCTCTACATGATAGAAATTTTAAAGATAAAGATGATGATTGATGGTGTTGTAGTGGATCCTACTAATATTATTTATTATTGGTATAATATATATACTAAATGAAGTTATATTATATATCAAATGAAGCACACAAACAAGAAAAGAAAAACAAGAACTTGTCACTGTTTCTTTGATTGATAAGCCACTGCCACACCCATTTCTCCTTGTCCTGTATCCCCAGACTCTATAGTTCTATATACCATCCCCCCAAGTATCTTCTTGTTAATCTTGAGATCCTTCTGGTATTGATCAGAGCTCTGGGGTTGTTTCTTCACAATGGCTGGTATTCTAAAATCCTGCATGCAATCGAAGTTGAAAGCGGTGAACCTGATAATGGCCATGGTAGGGATTGCTATGATCCTATATGGTTTTTGGATGCTCAGAGTTTGGCAGAGAGACATGGCTGGCTCATCTTTTGAGGACTTGGATTCCACTGCTCCATGGTAATTTACATCAAACTTCTTTCATGGCGCTTTTATGTTGTGTGTTTACTGATCTTACTACAACTGCAGGTTTATATACACTTTTCAGGGCACAGGCGTCACCTTGTGCCTACTAACATGCCTAGGCCATATTGCTGCTGATAGTGCACATGTATCTTGCCTTTTCTGTGTATCCTTTTAGCTTCATTAGAGCTCGTAAACTTCTTTGTGGATGCCGGTTTCCCCTTTTTTATAGTAAGCCTAGTATTGCAAGCAATATTTTCTTTAATGGTAGAAAGTACATGGTTATAATCTCAGTGCTTCTACTGATAGAGACTGGAATTGCAGCTGATATACTCTTAAACTCAGAGTGGGAAAAGGTACGAGACTGTCCCCTTTTTCCTTACTTCATTTATTCTCTGTCGATTTTAAGCATTTATAGTTTCGTCGTCGAGGTCAGGATATACCCAAAGATCCGACAGGGAGGTTCCGTGATTTCAAACAATTTGTGGAGTCTAATATCGACATCTTCAAATGGATATTCTCGACTATTTTCTTAGGACAGGTAACTTTATCTTCACATTTTATGGGTTACGAAGGGTGTTTCGTTACGTTTCGAGTCATTTCTTCGCAGGGACTTTCGGTACTATTCACTATGGCACTGAGAGCCTTTAGCCCCAACCAACGCTCAGACTATGATAGTGATGAAGAATTCACTCAAGCTAGGGTGCCACTCATAAGTAACCATGCTCAAAACCTGCTTATGTCATTGGAGAACCTCCTTTTGCAAATAAGAATGAAACTTGGAATGTAAGAAATCTTTCCTGCTTCCCCTTTTCAATCTTTCTATTTACTCTTTGTTGATATAATTTAATTTTGTATCGATTTTTATTGAAAACAGACGAAATAAGTGAGAAAAAGGGTGCCTGCAAATTTATGTATCATTCATAAATAACGAGAGAAACTGAAACAAAATGAAAGCAGAGCTCACCATGGGACACACTACCAAGCTAGGGGCACCCTTGATGCTCATACCAGAATTAGTGTGGTTAAATCTGTAAATTCGTGTCGGTTTGTTGCGCCGATTTGTATTATATAGATTAAAATACGTTCATGTCTTCGTGTTATGTCATATTTTTATCGTTTCTCTTATATCGGATGCATACTTGTGTTCGAAACTTGATCTTGTCGACGAAAACAAGTTAAAGCTATCAGTGTCACATATCACGTTATTTGCATGTTTTTATTTGATTACAAGCATTTATGCGACGAGTATAAGGAGCAGAGTCAGAACATTACTCAAACCGAAGAATATGAAAGCCTTGCCACTGGGCGACAAACCAAAGGATGATAAGAAGAGTTATTCCAGCTTTTTCCTCCATACTAACACCACAATCTTCATTTTCTCCATCTCCGACCTTCCAATCGAAGCATTGTATCAATCGGCCGAGAACCGTCGGGATGAGCAGTAGTGCCAGTGAAGCTCCAGGGCAGCTTCTCCTTCCACTCCCGAATGACAACAGGTTGAAATGTTGTCCCCTCAAATCCAAAAACTGGAACTTCCCTTGTTGCTTCCACTCTTCACTATGAAACCGCTCCGGTATAAACTCGAGCGGGTTCTCCCAGTGTTCGGAGTCCCTCCCGAGAGCCCATAGATTGACGAAAAGCCTTGTTTGTTTTGGAATATCGTAACCGCCAATGGTACAATCTTCTGTCGACTCTCTCACGACTAATGGTCCAGAAGGATGGAGCCTCAGTGTTTCCTTGACTATAGCTTGGAGATATGGAAGGTTTGCTATGTCAGATTCTTCCAGCATTCGGTTTCTTCCGACGGATGAGTCGATCTCTTCTTGTGCTTTCACAATCACATCCGGGTGGTTAATCAACTCCGATAGTCCCCATCCTATGGTAACAGCAGACGAATCCGCCCCGGCCCCGAAAATGTTCTGCAAAACTCATAACCAAAAGCAAGAATATGCATGAGTTCTGTCCTTGTGAATAAAAAAGTTACTAGCGGCAGACTAATTTACCATAACAAAGGCCTTTATGTTTTCTCTGGTCAATCTCATCTCGGCATTTTCGTCTTCCGATATGTCGATCAAAAGATCGAGTACGTCTTTCACCTTGTCGCTGTTGCCTGCAGATTCACTCTCGTTTCTCGCCTCTTTATGTTCCGATATTACACTCTCCATCAGGATATCGAATTTGTCCCGGACATTCTTCAGTCTTTTCCTATACCCTTGCAGGTCCAAGTTCTTACAGAACCAGAATGAATCCGCCAAATTAAACTTTGTGCTGAGGCTATTCATCTCTTTCACTATTGCCTGCACTTCACTGGCCTCATCTTCTTTATCCCCGAACACCTCTTGCCAAGTAGCATTCTCGATATTACGTTGTTCGTCAGCTTCATCAGCTCCGCTCCAATGTCAACCGCCTCCCCTGTCTCGGCTTTCTCCCGTATTAATCTCACAAATATGTTCATCTCGTCGCGTCTGATCGAAAGCAACCGGTCTAATGTCCGAGACCCTAAAAGTTCAGTCATGCACAATTTTCTCGTGTACTTCCAATAGGGTCCATAAGGTGCCATGGCCATATCAGACGTACCATACGTAAGGTAATCGAGATTTGAAAGCTTTGGCTGGTTTCAGAAGCTAGTTTCATGGTTCCTGAAGAAATCCTTTGCCAGTTCCGGGGAGGAAATAAGCAGACAACGGTTCGATCCAATGTAGAAGTGAACCAAAGGTCCATAACGGTTCGAGAGCTTGTTAAGAGCTTGGTGAGGTATGGGGCCAAGGAGGTGCCTGTGTCCGATAACAGGAAGTGCTCGCGGGCTTGGAGGAAGCATGCCTCGCCTTTTGCCGAGGATGACTCGGAGAAAGATTATGGGTACCGACCAGATAAGGAAGGCAAAGCTGAAGAACTGTGAATCAACCATGGTTGAAATATGAGTTTGAGTTGCAAGAACGTGGTTTCACTGATGTTATATACAAGTTCAAATGCGAAATTAGAGATGAAATTATTTGGATGGTTAAAAATATATAAATCAATCGTACAACAGCCCTGGAAGATGAATTTTGAAATTCTTGGACAAATTAGGTGGCTACAAAACAAGAAAAATATTATATTATCTCTTTGATGTAATAAAAGCATCTCTCTCATAGTTTGCATCTCTCATATTCGGTTCGGGTCATTTCGGTTCAAGTCATTCTAGGTTTAAACTTAGTTCAAGTCGGGTTCGGGTCGGTCGAGTCATTTCGGGTTTCAGTTTTATTCGGGTCTATAATAAGTCGGTTCAGGTCGGGTCAATATCAAATCGATTGATTTTCGATTCAGATCAATTTATATCAACTGATTTCGGGTTGGATCAAATCCGATCGGTTGATTTTTAAGTCGAATCAATATTCAATCAGTTATTTTTTATTTAGGTCAACTTTGCATCTTCGGGTCAAATCAAGATTTTTTTATTGATTAGGGTAAAAGAATTTGTGGTACGATCTATTTAATAAAAAACCAAATTTTTTAATTATAACTTTTATTATCAATAAAAATTTAAAACTAGATGCTTAACGTTCAATTACAAATATAATATTTTTATTAAATTTAAAAGTAATAATAATATACTATTTATGTTTGAATAAATATTATTTTAAATATATCTATAAATGATATTATATTACTATACCATTGATAATATTTTTATTTTAATTATAAATAAAAATAGATATCTTTATATTGTAAAAATAAGTTATTTGTGTTGTGTAAAAATAAGTTATTTTCATATTAAATTTAAATAATTGTATTTTTCTTATATGAAGGAATTAAAATAATTTGTAAATTAATTTAACATTTTGGAAAGTCATTTTAATAGTTCTAATACATTAAATTAATAATTCATAATTTGATTGAAATAAATTGAAAATCAATTTATTTTATTTTGAATCATTAGGTAATAGAATCCAAAATGAAATATTGAATTAATAAATTATTATTAAATAATTCAAAGATTAATTTCATAATGAAATCTAAAATAGATATTAAATTAATAAATTATTATTTAAATTAAAAATAGAAAATAAAAATTAAATAAATTTTAACATAATTCTAAGATGCTAAAGTTATTTTTATTTTATAAAATTAGAATTAGATTATATAGAAAATATTTAATGGAGCAAAATTAATTTTATCCTAATTATTAATTAATTAATGAATGAATTATAGATTAAAGTTAATTCAAATTTATTTAATTATTAAATATTTTAATAATTAAATTAGGTATATGAATTTTAAATTTAGATATTTAATTAATAAAAATAATTAAAGTTCAAATCAAATAAATAATTAATATATATATACTTGGATTTTATCATACTAATTTATTATTTAACACATTGCTAAAAAAAATATTTATACACTTTAATTATCAAGTTAAAATCAGGTAAATGTTCGGTTTAGATCGAGTTTGGATAATTAAATTTGGGTAATTTTCGATTTAGTTGCTTTCAGTTCGGGTTGCTTTTAGTTTATGTTACTTTCGGTTTGGCTAAAATTCGGGTTGGTTTTGATTCGGTTCAGGTTATTTTCAGTTTGATTTACTTTCGGTTTAGCTAGAATTCGTGTCGGTTTCGATTCGATTCAATTTTTTGGATTTTGAGTCAAATTTGAGTCATCATATTTGAGCATATTTCGCTTCTTGATTCAGTTAAATCGAGTTCTGATCAGATTTCCCAAGTATACATTAAAATCCATAATTTGTACACTTACATACGAATAAAGTCTATAAATCCTAAAAACCCGACCCACTTCCTGTTAATCTCTAATGTTCTCTTCTCACCTTGCTTGTATTTCATCCGTGAACGACGAAATAAACACCCACCACACCGCCCCCCCCCCCCCAAAAAAAATAGCCTGTGCCCATGGACCACAAAACAAATACATGAAAGCATGTATAGATGATGCAAGCAGAGAATCTAAATCTGCCATTAGAATTTGCGAGGTCACAGCCAAAATTGGTGTGGATATAATAATGATATGATATTACGGGTGATGTTTAGTTTCTTGGCCTCAATAATTGAGAATCTTGATGATGCATGTGATTACTTTAAAATAGAAGATGAACTCATGTTCGTTCGTTTAACTTTAACCGAGCAAATGAACGAACACGAACATAAACGAATAAAAAATTTCTTGTTCGTGCTCGTTAAGGAATGTAGCTTGTTCATGTTCGTTCATTTAAATGATAAACGAACACAAATGAACGAACGTAAACGAACATATGTAAACGAACATAATAAACGAATACAAATGAACGAACATAAACAAAGACAATAAATGGACATAAATGAACGTAAACGAACATAAATGAAAATAGATTTTTTCCTAACAGTTTTAGAATTATATTTTATTTAATTGTTTTGAGTTTTTTTATTTGTATTTAAAATTAATTAAATTTTAAAATATTTATGGGTGTGAGATTAAAATTTATTTGACTCTAATATTTTAAATGGGTCTAGAGATATTGGGTTAAACATAAATGAATGCACATAAGCAAACATATTACCGAATGTTCATGAACGTAAATGAACGAACAAGCCTTTTGTTTATGTTTGTTCATTTAATTAAACGAACACAAAATATTGTTCATGTTCGTTCGTTTAATAAATAAACGAACAAAAACGAACTTCCCTCCGAACGATTCACGAACGGTTCGTTGAACGTTCGGTTCGTTTATAGGCCTAAGATGAAGTTTACGATTTTAAGGATTAATTTGATAAAATATTAAAATATCAAAAAAAAATTAAAAAAAATAAATATCAAATTGAAAGGTGTAAAAGTTGAAGGATAAATTTGTGATTGTCAATTTTATTATCCTATCATGTTTTCGGAAAAAATAATGAACTTATATCAACTAATCTAGTGAAATAAGTCATTAAGTCTCTTAAGTAAAGTTAAAAATTCGAATCGTAATATTATGAATAGAAAAAATCGAACTGAAATAGTTATTGAACCTTTATAATATACTATCTAAATTAATAAATTCAGTAAGCTCGTGAAAAAGAACATGAGGCAGATATGATTTGGTAAAGGATTTGTTAATAATCAAAACATAAGGCTATACAGAGAATGTACAGATGTACTAAATACAATTACATAAATTGTAGATGAACTACCTCAACTTCAGCACCAGCCCACAACAACTCGGGCATGATTTTTTCTTCTTCTTATGGTGAGAAGAGGGAACAAAGAATTTGCATTCAAGATGAGCTAAAATTTGCCAGATTGAGCGTTATCACCGTAGGTGGGAATCATAAGTATCAAAAATGGTATAAGGGACAATGAGTGGCAACTTATCTATATACATGAAAAGCCTTCTAAGATTCTCTCTTGTCACCGTTGTCATGTCAATTATATCCCGGCTGTCTGTATATACCCAGAGATCTCCGGAGTTAACTCTCTTGAGATTATCACGACAGAAAGGACAGGACTGTGATCTTGACCGCCTGCAACTGCAACAAGTTGTTCAAGGATTGCAAAAGAAAAAAAAATGGCCTCGAATACATATCACAGATAAGACGAGCAACCAATATGATTCAGCTCTACTTTTATGTTGTTCGGAACTTTGACCATACCAGAAGAGAAAAACGATAGACAACTATAGTATACAATCAGTAAACAGTATGGAGCAATCAAGTATGATACCGATGCCAAGACACTAGATTTTAGGCTCGAATACAATCAATTATTCAAAAGCATTTCAGACTTGAGATGACATGTTCAACAGCAATTTGGACTACCGGATCACATTTATGGTTCCCCCTACAAAAACGTAAAGGATGACCCTGTATTTTATCTATTCGACATGATGCATCATTGTATGTTTTAACCATAAGTTCCAAAGATTTAATTTCATAGCACTTTAAATAGCATTTGAATGCAAATAACAAAACGATAAGTTCTAAATATGTCATTATTGTCTCTAAAGGGTATTACCACGTCGACAGGACTGTAAACCTATAAACTTTCGAGGATGTCTAACGAGAAAGGAATAAGGGGATTAAGGGGGTGGAAGAGGAAGAATACCATTCACGATAACATTTCAAGCACATGGTGTGGTTGCAGTTTGGTAGCAAAATTTTACTGTCCGTCTCCATGCATATTCCGCATTCTTCTTCTCTTTCAAAATCAACATCAGCAAGCTGTCTGCACTCTTCATCTTCTCTTCTACGATACCTATCCATGCATGCTGCTTTCTGTCTTTTATCTTCGGTATCAGTGACACCATTCTGAAGTTGCTGCAAAGAGGGATAGATAACAGCAGGACAAATAGGAATCGATAAGCATTCGGATAACATAAGAACTACACTCTGCAAATTTACCAAACAATCTGACAGAGAAAGATACCATAGAACTCTCTGACGCTCGCTTTCTTTTCATGCGTAGACATCGTGGTAGTTCCATCCACATAAACCTGCAGAACGCGATAGGGTGACGAAATCAGCTAACTTTCATCACATAAACATACGAGCTAAACATATAGTAACGAAATAAAACCATGTAAATTAGTATTCTTAACAGTCCAAGGGCTCCTGCAAGGTGAATGTCGGTCCACTGAACCAAAAACAAGAAGAGGTGCGCAGCTGGACCGTATGACATTCTCATTTGAAGGCATGCCCCATCGTGCTCCATTGGAAAATCCGACGCCCTGCACCTTGCATTGTACTATACGATGTTTAAGCCGAAAGGGAAGAACATAATTATGATTATATTAAACATATATGGATGAAAATACATCAATATTAGTTTAAGCATTAGCCAAATAAAACTTTTTTCCTTCCCGATATTTTATCTTAGCTCCATCCTACATCAGTAAATAAATACTAAATACACACTGCTATAAACATGGTATAAATTATGGCTACAAGACAGTGTAACGGTCTCGTAAGGTCACCGTTACATCGCAACGGCATCCGTAATATAAAATCATAATTATTTTTAAGAAATAAATCATGTTGTAATGTTCGTAACAGCCGCCGCAATTTAGTACTATAGCTGCTAAAGCTGAATCATACGGAATTCAACAGTACCATTCATTCCCAACATGAACTAAAGCAAAGACAGAAAAACATAACCGAAAAGAAGAAACCAAAGCTTGGGGAAGCAAGAGAAGAAAAGCCCCACAAAAGTTTCCAAGACTTACAGAGTATTAGCATGTTGAATATCAGCTTCCAGCACTTTCAGAGAGTCCTTGAAAGATTTTCGCATATAACCTGTGGACATCTCCCCCTCAGCCCCAAAAACACCCAAAGTCCGATCAATTCCCCACCCGAAAGAACCCTGATTTCCCTTTCCAAGCTATTCGGGGTCTTTTCTCTCTTGGTTTTTGGTGGGTGGGTTCTGAACTATAAGCTGGCAGCGGACAGACAATAACTAGTCTTGAAAATGCGGTGAAGCGCTCCTTGTCCGATACCAAAATGTCGATTTTATTATCTTTTTTAGAATCCAATTTCATGAATCTTTGGATATTTCCCTCTCCTTTTTGTGGTTTTGTCTGCCACCTTTTCACCTTTTTTTCGGTTGCTTTTGTTGGTGGCATTCGCTTGACATTCACATTCTTTTGTATTTTCTAATATGAATTCACAAAGCTTTTAATCACCAATTTTAATATTATAAAGATTAAAATCATAATTACAGTGTTAAATATATTATTAATAACTATCTAATCTGTTGATAATTTGAAAATTAAATATATTTTATTGTATTGTTTTTAATTATATTATAGTCACCATATCATGTCAAATCCCAATCAACAACTATGATAATTAGCGAATATATTTGTTAGAGTTAATGATTGATTATAATTATGGATTAATTTTTATTAGCTTTTATGTTTTTCAAGTGGGTGCAATGATAATTGAGTGGGAATATAATCCGATATGCTATTATTTATCGGTGGTGTGTTTTTACTGAATATCAAACTGGTTCTTAATTATTAATAAATAAATACTGAAAATATCTTTTATACTGTTGATTAAATATTAATTCGATTGATATTATTTTCGTTATAACGAAAGGATATAAATTTCAACATACTCAAATATTCAGTTTGTTTTTAATTTATAAATAATAAGAAACATAAATAATCTAGTTATCATATAGCACATTTGTTCCATGCATTTAAATACAATTATCAATTGTAAGGATGTATTAATGTCCTTAAGATGTGCCCACCAAATCCGCAACATTTTAGGGAGATAATAGTTTTGCTTTCTAGAGCGACAAATTTTCTCAATTTTCGTTTTCTATGACGTTTTTTAAAAACTCAAATTAATGGAAACATGAATGAAATGTAAATGTTTTAGTATAGATTCTATTAACAATGACAGTAATAATAGATACTAATAATTGTTGAACCATGTTTTTTTAATATTTTGATATAACAAATTTGAGGGAAAATGTTTTTAGACTTGAATTGAATTTTTTCAAAGGTTTCAAAAGTTTTCAAAAATAATTCAAAGTCCCTTAAACTAGAATTTGAGCAGAAAATATTTTATGGGTAAGTAGTACAGATACTATTCTTATAGTATCGATATTGCATGAACAATACCAATATTATTCACATGGTACCGATACCAAAGGTAAGAGAAGTATCAATACTCTCTAGGCAGTATCGATACTACCAGATGACTCAAATTCCAGAATACAATATACGTACCAATACGCATGGGGGTACCAATACTACTTAAACAATAGTATCGATACCTTGATCATGGTATCTATACTGATCTGGCCCAACGGCTAGTAACGACTAGTTTATTTAAATATAACAAAGGAAGTATCGATACTCATTAAAGGAGTACCGATACTCCCTGTCTTGGGTAGTTTTATTTTGCAGAGAATTTTATCCCCAACGGCTAGAAACGACCACAAACACATTCCAACCTATAAAATCAAGTTGAGGCACTTGAACAAGGTTACCAACACCTATGCAAGCTTTCATACACAAGAGAAAAGCTTTTTAATCTTTATTTTTCTTTCTCTTGTAAATATTTGCGTTTGAGCTTAATTGTATATCTTTATGTCTTGTTTTTGTGATCTTAATTTTTTGTAAATACCTACCTAGTAAGGTTTTTCTTGTTTACATTCTTTTCTTTGTGAAAATGAGAGTGGTTCTAGCTAAGCCTGTGAAAAGCTAGGGATTTGTAAAGGTTATCTCTTTATCCTGTGAAAAAGAAAGAACAAATTAGTGAATTTGTTAGAAAATTCTTAGTGAGAAGCTAAGGTAGTGGGGGTAGACTTTGGTTGAGAAAGTCGAACCGCTATAAATCCTTGTGCATAATTTTTTCCTATCCTTTAAATCTCCTTAATCCCTAAATATCTCTCAAAACCACTTCAACCCCTCTTGACACAATCATTCGATTGTTCAATTTGAGTTTCATCGAACCCAACAATTGGTATCAAAGCTTGAATCATTAGAAGGTCATAGAAGAAACTCTATCAATTATCGACACATCCGAGAAGATGAATTCCACCTCCGGCTCGCTCCATATAGAAGACTCCCAACAAATGGACAAACCTCCATACTTCAATGGAGCCAACTACCGTCATTGGAAGAAATCAATGAAGCAATTTATCCAATCCAATGAACTCGATGCATGGGAGATGATCGATAATGGCTACTCTTCTCTAAAGAAGAAGACAAAGGAGTAGAGTGCCCAAGAACGTAAGAGAACTCAACAAAATGCTAAGGCCATGCACATGTTATTTTGTGCGTTTGATCCTGATATCTATGAAGGAGTTTCATATTGTTCAAATGCCAAGGACCTTTGGAATAAGCTCAAAAAGATCTATCAAAACAAGAAAGAAGAACGAACAAAGGTGGTGTGCTCAATGGCTCTTAAAGAGCCCAAGGTATCTTCTAACTCAAATGAATCTAATTCATATTCTTTTAATGAGTTACAAGTTGCCTCTGATGAGTTGTATTTGGAATTTGAGACCATGAATTTCAAATATAAGAAATTAATTTCAAAATTGAAAATTGAAAATGATTTTTTAAAGCAAAATTGGATTTTGAAAAGTAAAATAAAATTTTAAAAAATGATTTTGAGCTTTCAAAAATCAAAATCAATGATTTGGAAAAAGGAAAATCTTTATTTTAAATTTAAGCTTGAAAACTTAACAAAGGAAAAAGAATTAATTTCTCAAACCAATTTATCATTTTTAAAAATGGCAAAATGCTCAGATTGCCATTTTCATGGTCACAAGGAACATACTTGTCCTATAAAGAAAAGAAAATATTTTAAAATTAAACAAGTATGAATTTCTAAAGGAACATGGGGCATTGAACCTAACGTTCAAGGATCCAAAGCAATTTGGATACCAAAATCTACTTAAATATCTCTTGTAGGTGTGTGAGAGCAATGGTGATGAAAGTGAAGATACTCAAATGTTCTAGCCACACTTGAAAAGGAATGGGTAACCTATAAACTTAATGTTTATTGATTTGGTAAATTGGTTGCTCATTTAGTTTTTTGCATGCATGAGTCTTTGATTTTAAATGATTTTATGATTTCTATATCATGTATGTTAAAAATATGTTATGATGAACATTTTAAAGTTTTAATGATTTTTCATAATTTTTAGTTCATCATAATGATTTTGGTCAAAATTGGTCTTAATTTTTTGATTTTACAAAATTTTCTTATTTTGACCTTAAATTTAAATGTTTATGCAAGTGATTTATTGAAAATGATATCTCTCTAACAATTGATATCAATTTTTCAAATGCATAACATTTTTGGATAACTTTATGCACATGCTCTTAAATTTATCGATTGGTATTGCATAAGGTATCTTAGACTTGGATATATTGAATTTCTTGTGCTACTAACATGTTTATTCATCTTCATTGAAATTTAATTTTTTAAGTGTCAAGCTTTTAAAGTCAAATTTTTGTTTGAAATGCATTTATTGAGGGGGAGCTTTGATTTTTCAAATGATTTTAATGTCAAATTTACCACTTACTCTCCATTGGTTATTTTTAACTTTAAAGTTGAATTATTTTTATATAACAAAAAGGGGGAGAAGTATGGTTTGAAATATTCAATTTCAACTATGAAAAAGGGGGAGCTTTAATATTTTTCAAATATTGCTCTTTTTCATGAAATGTTTTATTAAGGGGGAGTTTTGCCAAAAACAATTTTTTTCAAATGTTTTATTATATAAAAAAGGGGAAGATTTTTTAACTATGTTTTATAATATATTGATATAACAAATTTAAGGCAAAATGTTTTTGGACTTGAATTGAATTTGTTCAAAGGTTTCAAAAATAATTCAAAGTCCATTAAACTAGAATTTGAGCACAAAATGTTTTTCTGGGCCAGTAGTACCGATATTATTCTTACAGTATCGATATTGCTCACGCGCTACCAATACCAAAGATAAGAGAAGTATCGATACTCTCTAGCTAGTATCGATACTACCAGATGGCTTAAATTCCATAATGCAATATAGGTACCAATACCCATGGGGGTATCGATACTACTTTACACAGTAGTACCGATACCATGATCATAATATCGATACTGATCAGGCCCAAAGGCTAGTAACGGCTAGTTTATTTAAATACAACAAATGAATTACCGATACTCATTAAAGGAGTACCGATAGTCCCTATCCTGATCAGTTTTACTTTGCAGAGATTTTATCCCCAACGGCTCCAAATCATTCTCAACAACTAGAAATTGCCAAAAGCACATTCCAACCTATAAAATCAAGTTGAGGACACTTTAAGACGGTTACCAACACCTATGCATGATTTCATACACAACATAAAAGTTTTTCAATCTTTATTTTCTTTCTCTTGTAAATATTTGTGTTTGAGCTTAATTGTATATCTTTAGGTTTTTTGTGAACTTAATTTTTGTAAACACCTACCTAGTAAGGGTTTTCTTGTTTATATTATTTTCTTTGTGAAAAGGGGAGTGGTTCTAGCTAAGCCTGTGAAAAACTAGGGATTTGTAAAGATTATCTATTTATCCTGTAAAAAGAAAGAACAAATTAGTGAATTTGATAGAAAATCCTTAGTGAGGAGCTAAGGTAGTGGAGGTAGACTTTGGATGAGAAAGTCGAACCACTATAAATCCTTGTGCATCATTTTTTCCTATCCTTTAAATCTCCTTAATCCCTAAATATCTCTCAAAACCACTTCAACCCCTCTTGGCACAATCGTTCGGTTGTTCAATTTGAGCTTCATTGAACCCAACAATCCCAACAATAATTGATCAAATCAATGATTAGAAAGTTGTTTTGAATTGAGACTATTTAAAATTTAATGAAAAAAATGCACGAACAAAGTGGCCTCCATGGTAAATGAATTGTTGATATTTTTTGAGAACATGAATTTGAGCACCATAGATGTCAGAGGTGCTAGCATTTAATGTTGAAAGGTTGAGAGTTATCTTCGAACAGATACTGCCTTGTACATACCCTAGATTATTCAATAAAATATTAATGAAAAAAAATCAATATCCAAATTAAAGGATCATTTTAAAAG